GCCAGGTCAGCAGACACTGGCAGGCCAGGTCAGCACAGCGTCGCGACACTGGCAGACCAGGTCATCAGAGCGTATCGGACATATTTGGAGTCGGATCGGACATATTTGGAGTCAAGGTAGAGTTTGGTTCTGTGTAAACTAGCCGCGCCGCCTGTACACGGGCCCTCCGTGACTTGATTACAGACGATTTTTCAATCATCTACACTATCTGCAGACTAGCACGCGGTCGATGCCTGCAGCTGGGCTATTTCCTGTTCAAGGCCAGGCATAACTAGCGTTAGTCTGCCCCGGCGCGGTCTCTTCGCATGGGCTACACGGACCGGGCTGCGGCTCGGCCGACGAGGCGTTGACTCATGCTCCTCGTTAACCCAGTCGAGTGAGCACATTTCCCTGTCTTTCATTCAAGAATATCCCTTACTGAGATATTCCAACACTCGTGGCTCGGACAAGTCGGAAGCGTGTCAGACAGCGTGTTTTTCCTTCTTCACGACTGGCGTTAGGATTCATCAGCCTCCGGAGGCTACTACTAACTTGGCGACACGGCGCGCCCCGCGCTCTTGTGACGGCGCGGTACCATGGAGCGCGGTCTTCTGTCTTCTTTTGCCATCAAACTGGAACCAGGGATGCCACCACTGACGCGTGATTGCAGCTCTTAATGCGTAGATCGCTTTGGTTGACCGCCACTGCCCAGTGAGAAGGATGCCAGTCTCTAATGCCCTTACCCTAGCTGGTCAACGACCCAGCCCTGTCAAAGTTTACGTTCGAGTGAGACAGCGCACGCCACACGTGGCTGTGTCTGCGCGCGTGAGGGGCCAGGACCGACTTCACACGGCCCGCCATCCCCTTCGAGTCGCCTCATTGTAGTAGGGCACGAGTTCCTGCGCGGAGGGATGTCGTCCGACGTCTGCAGCCGTTGCTGGCCAGCCTTCAAGAGGCTCGCCGTGGAAGCCCGACGCCGGCTGGAGCTGCGTCTGGTCTGCGGCGAGCCCGGAGGAGGCCGAGGTGACGGCCGACAGCGCAACCGGCACTTCACCGCCGAGAGGCCCGCACCGCAGCCGACCCACAGGTCGCAGTCACCACTGGCTGCAAGAACCCCCAGACCCCCTGCTGTCTGTGGCGCCGGCTGCTCGCTCCGACCTTTGGAACTTCCAGAGCCGGCAAAGCGTGTTCGACGCAAGGGCTCATCGTAAACGGTGGGGATAGATGGCATTCTGTTCGAGACTGCGTGTGAGCGGTTTTCATTCGTTGGTCTAGTTCATTTAAAGCCCATTATGCTGTCTGTCGGGACCAGTGTTCAGAGATAGCTGAAACACAGCATATGTCGTGCCAATTCCAAAGTCGGGTGACGAGGCTATGCTGTCTGACAATAGATCCACACCTCTGCTCTGTGTGTTATATAAATATTTCAAAAAGGTAGCATGTACACAGCTAACAGATTACCTGACGGTGGCAGGGCTACTACATCCATCCCAGTATGCCTGTAAGGCACAGACCACGCCACTCAACCGAGGATGCCTTGCTCGCCGTTCGTCGGCAAAGACGGTCGATCTTTCAAAGGCATGCAACAGCATCGGCAACGACAACCTACGTACTAAGAGGTCTTAGTATATACCTACGGATGTGGGACGGCTTGTTCAGGAATTATTTGAGTGGTTGAAGGTAGATGGCGCTTGGAGGACGGCTCGCTTTTCCGATTTCATACGGTGTATCCCAGGGCTCGGTCGTCGCTCCTATAATGCCTGCCAACCATCGAACTGTTGGGTACTTGACTCACGGCAGATTCATCCCCCGCGCTGGTGACACCATGCACGTGAATTGAGCGCTTCTTGACATGCTGGGTCTTGCCGACCTCAAGACGAGACTAAAGCTTGTCATGCCTGATGTTTAGTCCTGATTCAGGTTTATGGCTTCGACATGAAAGAAATACCCGCTGCCTTAAGGCGGTTGGTTCAAAGCAGCGTGAAACATAGTACGCACACTTTTACTTTAGGGTAGTCAAAAATCTCGGTGTTGCAATTTATTCTGGTGTGTGTACGTGTTGAGTGCTCGGAGGACACATGTAACGGCACCTTGTTTCTCCGTACAAATTCTCCCCGTACCTATTTTCGGACTTTCTCAAAATAATCATCCAGGTGCACGTGCCCATTACGACACGCAATCCTTATTTATGCATGTGAGGTGGGACGACCAAGAGTCAACTACGTACAATTCCAAACCATTCAAGGACTTAAAGACGTTGCTGCAAGAACCATTACCAGCAACAAAAAAAACATCACGATTTAATTTCGGCCCCGAGTCACCCAGGGTGGCTGAGGATCGAGGCAATGGTGGTGCACTGCTGCGTGATCAAAATGTCTACTGTGCTGAAGAAGAAAAATGCATTTCACAAGACCCGAGCGTGTTTCGTTCAATACTCCGCAGTGACATCACGGGAAACACATGCCCCGGACAGGGAAGGTTTGTTGCTGCGAAGAGAAAACACCGAGTGGCTAAATTAACAAGAAGTGTCACATTACACAGGCGGCGTTTTCGTATTGTGGCGCAGCCGTCTTGAACTACCCTTCTTCGCACGCCAGTGATACCGCAGTGTTGATTGCGTTTAAGGCATTCACACGTGAAGCGTTCATGACAAATGGCCACTGACTCTACTGAGTCAGGGGCCCTGTATCTCATTGACCACTGGGGCCATTTGGAGACGAGAAGCTTTAATAAGATACCATGTGGGATGCGGTAGTAGTGAAACCGAGGCTTGAATCCAGGACCGACGGGTCGTGAGTCGAGTACGCTTATCAGCTAACAATCACCGTGCGTACACCCGACCGCTAACGCCAATCTGACCCGGCTGATGCTGCGTAGGTAAGTCTGCTGTAGCTTAAACTATTCGATGATTACTCCTATCATTTCAGGGAACACTTTTGTGATACGCCTTGTGTGCCTTTTTAACGTGCCCCTTAGTGAGTACGTTACAGCATGTAGTCATGACTTGGGGCCGTAATAATCATCCTTTAGATAGTTTCCAATAGACCGATACTCCTTACTGCTAATTATGACCTAAGGCAAAAGCCGGTGTTCGTTTGACGTGAGCTGGCTCGTGTGTACGGTTCGACCGGCTGCTGGTTCGATGTGGTCGCTTGTAGGCCTCCAACGTCGACGTTTTCGCAGTATCGTGACTAAGCCGACACCCTTCCACCGCTGGCTCCCACGGACTCCGGACTTCTCGCCCCCGCGCGATCGCGTGCAGTCAAAACGCGGGTGCACCGGCTGACAAAACGGGAGCAATAAACAAACCTGCAAACGGCTGCAAGCGCGAGTGTTGTGCCGCACTGACGCAGCTTATCGCTCTGCACGGACATTGACACGATCTTTTTGAGTGCCGCACCATTTAAAAACTTGGACACGACATCGAGTCTACCAGAGGAAATAAATGCGGATCTATTGAGGTACACCGCTCGCAGAAGCGTATCACAGGAAAGCAGCTTCTCTGCTGCCCCGTCGCCCTTTCGCTGGTGCTGTGACCTTACAGCCGACCAGACACCAAGTCTGCACACTGGAGCGCCGTCTCGCCCCCTGTTAAGCCCTGACGCACACCGCCGCCACGCCATCTTGCCCCCTGTTCAGTCCTGACGTATATCGCCGCCACGCCGTCTCGTCCCCTGTTCAGTCCTGACGTATACCGCCGCCACGCCGTCTCGCCCCCTGTTAAGCCCTGACGTACACCGCCGCCACGCCGTCTTGCCCCCTGTTCAGTCCTGACGTATATGGCCGCCACGCCGTCTCGTCCCCTGTTCAGTCCTGACGTATACTGCCGCCACGCCGTCTCGCCTCCTGTTCAGCCCTGACGTACACCGTCGCCACGTTGTCTCGTCCCCCTGTTCAGCTCTGACGTACACCGTCGCCACGCCGTCTCGCCCCCTGCTGAATCAGCCCTGACGTACACCGCCGCCACGCCGTCTTGCCCCCTGTTCAGCCCTGACGTACACCGCCGCCACGTCGTCTCGCCCCCTATTCAGCCCTGACGTACACCGTCGCCACGTTGTCTCGCCCCCTATTCAGCCCTGACGTACACCGTCGCCACGCCGTCTCGCCCCCTGTTCAGCCCTGACGTACACCGCCGCCACGCCGTCTTGCGCCCTGTTCAGCCCTGACGTACACCGCCGCCACGCCGTCTTGCCCCCTGTTCAGCCCTGACGTACATCGCCGCCACGCCGTCTTGCCCCGTTCAGCCCTGACGTACACCGCCGCCACGCTGGCTCGCACCGCCGGGTGTGAGTCTGCACGGCGTCGCGTGCTCGACACCGGTTGTTGGGACCGGGCCGCTCCGACAGAGCCGCCCGCCTGCGGTTGTGAACCGGCGGGGAACATCTGCGTGGGCAAGCCCGTATCGCGTGGAGGAAATGGGACAGGGCGTTGTGAGGGACAGGGAAGGCTGATGTAAACAAGATGTTTCGCAATGTGGTTGAAGAATGGCACAATCTGCCTTACGTCAGTAACATACTCGATAATTAGGTGTGTTCAGCGACATTCCCAATGTTGAACTTGTGAAATTTGGTAGCTGATCAAATGTTTTCAGCGTGCCAAAAACACGCATGGGCGAATACCCGACGCTAGCTTTTATTCACGGCATTTACTAGAGCGTTTGCCTTTTAGTAGAAATATTTCACTCATTCGATGCCTTCTTCATATTCGCGTCTGAAAGAGCAAAATTTAGCCAATGAGCCTTGTTCTACAGATACATGCTGCAATCACAACCTGGAATGCATCGGCTGTTGAAGCAGACAGCAGTCATTTATCAGTTGACAACAGCGGACAATTGCCAGCCAGAGCTGAAGACAATTACGTCCGGAAAGGCCAGCTTACCCAATTAACAATATGGCGCGCTTAACGCTATATTAGTGACTGCAACGAAGCTAAAATGACCGGCTCCGAGGCAATCCACTCGCTGGAATCAGGCGTGCTCCGTGACATCACGCGGTGACGTCACGTCCAATAAGGAAGAGGCGTTCAGCTGGTAATGTATTTACCGAGCCTGCAAGCTAAGACGCGGCAAAACTGTGACCAGACCCGCGTCGTCCACAGCCAGGCAATCATACGGGGAACACGCAGCAAAACCATCGCGAGCTACAAAAGTCAGTAGAAACGACTGCGTCGCAAGGCCTGTTATCACATTCTCCATCGGCGAAAAAAGACAGCTGTTACAAACGGCTATAAGCGACATGAGCCTCGCACCTGCTCTACAGCCTACGCTTCGTAGCTCTCGCCACCTAAACACAAAGCGGGCCGCTGGGCGACACGGTTGATCACTTCAACAGGCACCAGGTGTCGACGGTGGTCGCGCAGCGCAATGTTACGCAACACAGCACGTAAAGCTGCAACAGTGGCTGAACGCTGAATGCGAGGCCTTCAAACCTCGCGTACCTACTCCTGAACCGCGCCAAGAGCTCGAGTTAAGTTTCGCGTGAGTCCAAAACACCGGGGAGCGCGGGTGGCCTGAACTATGACCTGCGCGCCTGCGTGACGAGGGTACGGTGCGATGGGCTCCCTGGCAGCTGCATTGTTCACGTGCTAGCTGAGCTGTGAATACTAAAACTCAAAGCTCCGCTCTCGAGGCGTTCAAACTTGCACTCCTCAATAAATAGTATTCTGAAACGGGGAGAGGACGGGGATCATTTAGAGTGCATCAGGCGCTCACTACGTGACAGTCATGTTCAGTCACGGATGGTTATAGTGGTTTGTTTGTATTAGGGCGTTTCAAAGACGTACGCGCCTGGCAATTACTCCAGTTTAAAAACCGTGTGAGGCAAGAACAAATACAGACCAGGTGACAAGTCCATGTGGCATGCAAATAAAGCGATGAGAAACCGTCTGCAAATGCCAAGTTCGCCATGCTCCCAAATTCCAAAAACAAAACACAAGATAAACGTCATTGCAAAAAGACCGAAAAAGCTAAAAAAAAGCTGCGAAGTCAAAATGTTGACAACTACGATTATTCAGCAATGTGATTCTCCCCCGTTACATCTCATTTCCATTTTCGTTCCACCCCCTGCTCTGTCCGTGCTGGTCCACCTCGCCAGCGGCCGGAAGCGGCCGACCGCCGCCGCCCGAGCTGCGAGCCCGGCGCCGCGCGACCCACGCGTCCCACTCACCATTGTCGGCCTGGCAGCTGTGACCAAGCCGCTCGGGGCCGCAGTCGCACAGGCCGGTCACCGGGTCACAGGGAACGTCCGGGGGACACCGGCAGCGGCGCCGGCAGGCCGGTCCGTAGCGGCCGGCCGGACACCGCCGCTGGCACCGGTCCCCCGCCCGCCCGGCCGGACACCGGAACTCGCCCGTCTCCGGGTCACAGGGCGTGCTGACGCAGGCCTCCTGGCAGCCGGCGCCGTGCGTACCTGACGCACGAGCGGCAGCGTTGGTGAGGAGGGGTGGGCGAAAGAAAAGGGAAAATAATATCAACTTATAAAATTAAAGTATACCTACTTACGAAAAATAATAAGTGAATACAAAAACCATGATTTAAAATAATGGTGATAGAACCCAAGAAGGTATCTGCTGAGTGTCGGTCTGATCGATGGTATGTTTGTGTGAGCTATTTACAAAGCGCTTTCCATCTCCTTGACGCCGACTTGTGAGCTTTGGTGCATGACCACCACGTCATAGTTCGGGCCCTGCCAATTTTTCAACGTCTCAAAAACAACCCATGTCAAAAGCATCCAGCATTCGACCTTCATTACACCAGGAGATGCTGAGTAAACGATCTTATCGAAGACGCACTATCTACATTGGCAAACCCGACGCTTCAAGCCGCGCACATCGCTTCAAGTCGCCATTAGCACAGTTCAAAGCGTCGAATTTTGATAATATATTCAATATTTACATTATAGTATCGTTCAGCTAGTACCTACTGGCATGTTGTAGGCAGGTTGATGGTAAAAGAACTTCCAACCCACAATCGCGAAAAAGGGAGCTAAAGGTTTTTCTCGCTAATGTCAAGTTCGTGGTTGCATGCGCTGCAAATGACTGAACAACACAATGAACATATTCCAAGAGGTGATATGGACAGATTCCACATGAATGATGTGCAAATGATGTAACCAAATCGTGAAGGATGAAAGACTTCAATCAACTGGATTTGTTGGAGCTGCATTATTATCAGCTAAATGTAACGTAGCGATTTTCACCCTGCCAAGCAGACAAATAAGCACAGCACGCCATGTAACACTGTTCAGCTCGGCATGCATGATCACGAAATGGCTGCTGCGCTATTACCGCCAGAGTCTCGAACGCCCTGACTTCGAGGGCTCATGTGTGTACGTGTCCGACAGGCACGTACCCTGAGGGCAGACGTCCTGACACAGCTGGCCGATGTAGCCTGGCGGACACGTGCAGGCCCCAGTAACGGCGTCGCATCGACCGCCGTTGTAGCACCAGCACACCTGCAGCAGAGCGGGCCATTGTTCAGCCGAGATGGCACTCTATTGGGCACGAATAGATGGACCTGCTCGCGCGGATGAAATTGAGGAGTTGCGAACGAGATCCGCCCAAAACATCCTGTTGTGCCTACAGGGGAATGAAATCGTACCTGCGCTCTGCAGCGGGCAATGTTTGGTATCACGGCATTCCGATCTATCTCATGCTTAGCAGCAAACACCTTGATAGGGAACAGGTATGGGAGTGGCGCCGATCATGGTTTCAGCTTCGCGAAGCCGCATGTTTTGCTCCAATGGCTTCGGCTTCCGTCTCGTGCAAAATTATAAACGGGTGGGTTCGGTTTTGTTTTCCGGTGTGCATCATTTCTAGCAGCTGGCTTCGGCTTCGGTTTCAAATATTATTTTTCTGAATTATGGCTGCTGATTTAGCATCTTCAAACCTTGCCTTGCTTTGTCAGTATGTCCTTCTCCGCCATGCTGTTGCGACTGTACGTCCCCACAGTCTTGCCCGTCCTGTCGCCCGCACAAAACACACACCATCTGAGGCTTCCGCTAGCGCGTGGCTGAACGTCAACACAACCAACCATTCTCAAACAGCCGGCCGCAAAATAGTCGGTCATTGTCAGGGCAGGACCACCACCTGACCACAGCCGAACCGCCAGGGCAGGACCACCACCTGACCACAGCCGAACCACCAGGGCAGGACCAACACCTGACCACAGCCGAACCGCCAGGGCAGGACCAACACCTGACCACAGCCGAACCACCAGGGCAGGACCAACACCTGATCACAGCCGAACCACCAGGGCAGGACCACCACCTGATCACAGCCGAACCACCAGGGCAGGACCACCACCTGATCACAGCCGAACCACCAGGGCAGGACCAACACCTGACCACAGCCGAACCACCAGGGCAGGACCACACCTGACCACAGCCGAACCACCAGGGCAGGACCACCACCTGACCACAGCCGAACCACCAGGGCAGGACCACCACCTGACACAGCCGATCCACCAGGGCAGGACCAACACCTGACCACAGCCGAACCACCAGGGCAGGACCAACACCTGACCACAGCCGAACCACCAGGGCAGGACCACCACCTGACCACAGCCGAACCACCAGGGCAGGACCACCACCTGACCACAGCCGAACCACCAGGGCAGGACCAACACCTGACCACAGCCGAACCACCAGGGCAGGACCACCACCTGACCACAGCCGAACCACCAGGGCAGGACCACCACCTGACCACAGCCGAACCACCAGGGCAGGACCACCACCTGACACAGCCGAACCACCAGGGCAGGACCACCCTGACCACAGCCGAACCACCAGGGCAGGACCACACCTGACCACAGCCGAACCACCAGGGCAGGACCACCACCTGACCACAGCCGAACCACCAGGGCAGGACCACCACCTGACCACAGCCGAACCGCCAGGGCAGGACCACCACCTGACCACAGCCGAACCACCAGGGCAGGACCAACACCTGACCACAGCCGAACCACCAGGGCAGGACCAACACCTGACCACAGCCGAACCGCCAGGGCAGGACCAACACTGACCACAGCCAACCGCCAGGGCAGGACCACACCTGACCACAGCCGAACCACCAGGGCAGGACCAACACCTGACACAGCCGAACCGCCAGGGCAGGACCACCACCTGACCACAGCCGAACCACAGGGCAGGACCACACCTGACCACAGCCGAACCACCAGGGCAGGACCAACACCTGACACAGCCGAACCGCCAGGGCAGGACCACACCTGACCACAGCCGAACCGCCAGGGCAGGACCAACACCTGACCACAGCCGAACCGCCAGGGCAGGACCAACACCTGACCACAGCCGAACCGCCAGGGCAGGACCAACACCTGACCACAGCCGAACCACCAGGCAGGACAACACCTGACCACAGCCGAACCGCCAGGGCAGCACCACCCCTGACCACAGCCGAACCGCCAGGGCAGGACCAACACCTGACCACACCGAACCCAGGGCAGGACCAACACCTGATCACAGCCGAACCGCCAGGGCAGGACCACCACCTGACCACAGCCGAACCGCCAGGACAGGACCACCACCTGATCACAGCCGAACCGCCAGGGCAGGACAAACACCTGACGACAACCGAACCGCCAGGGCAGGACCAACACCTGATCACAGCCGAACCGCCAGGGCAGGACCAACACCTGATCACAGCCGAACCGCCAGGGCAGGACCAGCCCCTGACCACAGCCGAACCGCCAGGGCAGGACCAACACCTGACCACAGCCGAACCGCCAGGGCAGGACCAACACCTGATCACAGCCGAACCACCAGGGCAGGACCACCACCTGACCACAGCCGAACCACCAGGGCAGGACCAACACCTGATCACAGCCGAACCGCCAGGGCAGGACCAACACCTGATCACAGCCGAACCGCCAGGGCAGGACCAACACCTGATCACAGCCGAACCGCCAGGGCAGGACCAGCCCCTGACCACAGCCGAACCGCCAGGGCAGGACCAACACCTGATCACAGCCGAACCGCCAGGGCAGGACCAGCACCTGACCACAGCCGAACCACCAGGGCAGGACCACCACCTGACCACAGCCGAACCGCCAGGGCAGGACCAACACCTGATCACAGCCGAACCGCCAGGGCAGGACCAACACCTGATCACAGCCGAACTGCCAGGCCAGGACCAATACCTGACCACAGCCGAATCGCCAGAGCAGGACAAACACCTGACGACTGCCGAACTGCCAGGGCAGGACCACCAACACCTGACGACAGCCGAACTGCCAGAGCAGGACCAACACTTGACGACAACTGAACTGTTGGAAACGTCCTGTACACACTAGCAAATGATGATGACGATACAACGAAAAACATCCCGCCAGTAATGCATCACTTTGCAAGACCCTATCCTATTTTCTAATCCCATACAATTTCAACAAACACGAAAATCGTTTTTTCGCATTACAACGTTGTTCACTACATACGGCCTCAGCTGGCTTCGACCTGATGATTTCAGCCAACTGGTTCGACTTCGGCTTCTTTTTTTTCTAAGTTTGCAGTTGCAGACTTCGGCTTCAGCTTCACGTGTGCAAAGTTCGAAGCCACTGGCTTGGGGTTCGGCTTTACGTATAAAGAATACAAAGCCTCTGGTCTTGATGTTGGCTTCATAGCCCAAATATCAAAGCCACCGGTTTTAATTCAACTTCGGCTTCATGCCGTTATCTTGTCTTGGCCCCGGACTCATGCCATTGTCTTGCCTTGGCTCCGGATTCATGCCATTGTCTTGTCTTGGCTCCGGATTCCGTTTCGAAGGTAGGAACCTGGAGTCGTCCTTGTGCATGATGGGGACCTGAAGTAATCAGTACTTATCGCTGATGGACAGCCGTAACGTAAGTGGCACGTGTTGATTATCACGCTAGAATTTGCCCCACCCGCAGACTACTTCCTACACAATACATCTAACATCTATGCAGACCCGAAGATGCATGGCTGCTATTGCTGAATCCCATTTACGCCATGAAAAGTCACGGAAGACGTGCTGCGCGCTCAAGCATTTGGTTTTTGTTTAAGCATCAATTGAATTTGTGTGTCAGCCGTCCATATGTCGTAGATGTATTTAAAATGCTTATGTCATTGCAGGGGAAACCACTGGCGAGGCACGCCACTCAGTCTTGTAAAATTGACTTTTGCACATTCTCGTCCCCCACCACAACTTTGGCCTTGACACAAACGGTTATCGCATTTACTCCGTTAACAAATGTCATTGGAAGTCAGAAGTTTCTCAAATTTGTCTTAAGCCTCCTCGTTCTTGGCACCCGGTAACGCTACATCTGCACCTGATGTCTCCCCCAATGTCGTGATGCGCTTTTCGCTGGCTCGGAGATGGGGACACCCACCTCGGAGCACTGGCGGCCATAGAAACCGTGCGGGCACTTGGTGCCGCACAGTCTGCCGAAGAAGCCGGACGTGCACAAGCACGTGCCGCTCACGTGGTCCAGGGCACCGCCATTGCGGCAGCGGCCACGGTACCGGCAGTTGGGCCCGTACCGGTTACGGCGACACGGGCTGCGACATCTAGCGACAGGAGACGGCCGCTCATGCCCGGGTCGCTGGTGCAGAAACGTGAAGGTATACACCGCTTTATATGCACTTGACGAAACAATAGCACGGCCAATCATGGACATGTTCAAGAAACAAATAATGGACATGACAAGTAAATGACGGACTGAACGCGCCTGCTTCGAGTGAGATTGTGCTGCGAAGAGTTACAATCGGTGGAGTCTCCATCGTAAGGATAACTGTCACTTCGGTGAGATTGAGAAGTGCTGTGAAAGAATAGATAATGGGCTAAGGCTTACCTACGACCTCTGAAGCCTGGTGGACATACGCAACGCCCCTGTTCATTGCACACCCCACCGTAGCAGACGCATCGCCTTCCTGAAACGTGCAAACATTACAATCATTGATGGCCACAAGGATGCTTTACGATCTCATTTGTCATTCTTTCGTCATTCTCGCTTTATCCTGCATCATCGCGACGCCCTGTTTGCCTGGGGCAGCTACACGCGCCAGCCATATGAGTGGGTTTGAATGCCGGCTGTCGGGACCTCGTCCGAGTAACCAGCACATACCTGGTACAGCGGCCCCTGTGCTGGTTACACCTCGCTGGATTGACCCCTAGATGCATCTAGTTTGTTGACTTTCCCTCGCCTCATAGCTCTGAAATAGCCATACTGGCCGCAAGGGCTCTAATCCGATGAAAAACGAAACCTTACGGTCTCTTACTGAAGCTCGCATGACCAGTGCACTGGACTACTATGTTTCAGATGGATCGCATGTGCTGACGCCTCTGGACTCCATACCTATGGTGACTAAAAGTGAGGTGCTGAGATATTCGTACAAGAGAAAATGATGATCTTATAAGACAGGTGAAACACCATTCATCTTCATAAACAGAGTTGAAGTTAGCACGCAACTTCTGATCTACCACGAACTCAGCGTGTCTGCAGTCTGTAGATGTCTTTGTATGGAAAGCGATCGAAGCCATTTCAGCCAGTGGTGGCCATTTCAGGTCCATAACGATAACGAGGAAAGTAGCAGTGGGGCCACACTTCGGCCGACTTGGGAGCCTTCGGCTAACGTGCCTTACTCCGCGTATGGTACAGCCTTGTCAGGGCTCGCGCGGGCGCTCTGTCGGCTGTCCGGCCAGCGGGGCCGTGTCACGGACTCTTGACTCGTGCCGTGTCGTGCTCGTGCCGCAGTATGGTGCGGAGAGACGGACGTTACGAGTGTTTAAGATGATGCGGTGAGCGAGGAGAGCAGGGTGGGTCGCGCTTGTCGTCGGCGTCATGGGCGGCGTGTCTTCTGCGTGGTCATCGAATGCACAAGACTAAAGATCTCCATGTCACAAGATATGTCTGGCACAGATGCAAATGGATGACATGGCGTATTTGGATTACCAGTTAAGGCTTTGTGCTCACCACCACAACCGCGTTTCCCACTGGTTTTGTGCTTGCGACTCCAGATCGCGCCACTGCGTTACCTCGCCTCTTTTTCTCGGACGGCACAATCTCGTTGTTTCGGGTGTTGTCTCCCTTGGAGGCTGGGCCGGCAGCAGAAGTTAAACATTTGCCCGTCAGATGGTGACACCGTGCCCTGGGACAGTTCTCGCATCGTTGCGCGCATCCAGCTCCAAATGAGCCCCTCGGACACTTGGAGCGGCATTGTTCACCAGCGAAGCCAGGCTTGCAGATGCATTCGCCCGTCTGGGAGAGAACAACAGACGATGACATCAGCCGACCGCGTCCGTCGTTTGTTCATGGGCAGACGACGAAAGGTGTCGATATTTTCAAGAAAGGGCACTGCACGTCGTACAGGGAAACTACAGTCATCAGTCGTCAGCCGCTACGGGTGACGATGCCAACAGCCAACCCATAACTGAGCTTCGGGGCTGGAACTGACAAGAGAGCTCCTTCCGGCGAAGAGTGCTGACACTAGAGTGCTGTGGTTTTCCTTTTAGGCAGCAGGGGCGCATACTAACGCAGCCGGAGTCAGTCAATGTCAAGTGAAGGTCAATCGGAGCGGATGCTTACCATGACATTGGACGACAAAAAGGCGTGCACCACTACCAAGGCTATCTTTCGATGACGGCAGCTTCGCGGCGTCATGGCCAGCAAAAAAAAAAAAAAATCAAACGAAAAAAACCCGGATGTGAGGCAGTACAGCCAAACGCCCCCGTTAGGTGTGAAATAGTTGACAGCTGAAGCTAAGCGCCACAACAGGATTTCGAGACCAAGCCACGCGGCGATGTGGTCTGACAACACGCTCAAACCTTGAGAGACCACGAGACCGGTGCTGCAGCCAGTACGGCACTTACCTCCGCGTTGCATTTGTACGTGTTTCGGCTGTAGCAGGTGCACTTGTTCTGACAGTTGACCCCGAACGTGCCTTGTGGGCATATCTCAAAACACTGCGGGCCGAAGTATCCCGGAGGACACTCACAGTAGCCAGATTGGCGGTTACATCTGCAAACGGCAACGAAGCACCAGTTAGGAAGACACTCATAGTAGCCGGATTGGCGGTTACATCTGCAAACGGCAACGGAGCACCCGTTAGCTTATGCATTGGTCAGGACACCTTTTCCTTTGAAGAGCAGGACTTTTACATGCCTAACAAAAGAAAGCGGTGCATTCTTTTATCTAGCAAGAAAAAGGCGAAGAAGCATGAACCTTACGCATGTCTGTAAAATATCTCAGGAGGCACCATAACTTATACACGACATCAAATTTGCCTAACCTTGTCTCCGAATGAACTTGAGTTGCTGGTACAAGCGATTACTAAAAACGGTTGGCTGAACCCACAACTGAATCGGCAGAAAACAAACGTCAAACGCCTGCAGCGATACACCGGTCTGTGCAGTCCGCCTGCGCTGTGCATACCTCATGACGGGAGGAACTCTCATATGTACGAACAGGCTGTTCCTAACACCCCCGATGCCAAACAGCCGAGGAAAGAGAGGCGACTCAACAGGTATCTACACCCGGCTTGACGAGTCCAGGGCGTTGCACCTGCCTGTTGGCGGGGCAGCGGATCGGACAGCGCTTCTCGCAGTCCTGTCCGTACTGTCCGGCCGGACAGCCGTGCTCGCACCGCTCGCCGCTGACGCCGGCCGGGCAGCTGCAGCGACCTGCACCGCCGGACATCCGCCAGACGTCAGGTCACGGCAACCAACGATAGGACAACGCGCTGTGAACCTACGACATGAAGTTACCAGCTTTTCGACTAACGTTTGTACAGACGCAAAAAATCTTACCACGAGCGTGCTACGCCTAAGGCAGACAACTGACCCCACGAACCAGTGTGTACCGGACGATCCTGGCGGACCTTCCTGTCAGAGGTCTTCACCGGCACCCATGGGTAACCATGTGGATTGAGCCGCACGATGGGTTGGGTACAGATTTTGGGAAACTTATGGATGCATGCCAGACACGGGTAAGACGTTTATGCAATGCTGGGTAGATGCTTCAATAAATACTCCGCAATGTTACCCTGTGCTTTTCTCGGTCATTACCTTTACTCACACTAATTTTGAAGTTATTAGCGCAAAAGTATAATATTGGGTGCAAACTCTCCTGAAAATAGTGTCCAGGAGCAGCTACTTAGGAATCGGTAGCGGCCGGGTATGGGCACGGACCTATGTGTAGCCCGTGGATGGGGTAAAAGCAATCTTGAAGGCCTCTCCTCGCTCCCACCACCGCTGGCTAGTACAGCTAGCGAGAGGTCACCCGCCACGTGGTAGCAGCTGGTAGGAGCTCGCCCGTCGCGTGGTAGCAGTTGGTAGGAGTTCACCCGTCGAGTGGTAGTAGTTGGTAGGAGCTCACCCGTCACTTGGTAGCAGCTGGTAGGAGCTCACCTGTCACTTGGTGGCAGCTGATGGGAACTCACCTGTCACGTGGTGGCAGCTGGCGCCATTCTGGCAGACACACAGCTGGTTACAGCCCTCGCCGTAGGTGCCGGCTGGACATGGGGAGCCACACAGCGGACCGCTGAAGCCCAGCGGGCAGTCCCCTGGAGCAGAGCGGGAGAACTAGCAAGGCCAGCAGACCGCCGGTGAAAGGCAGGGGGCGCTGCCGCTGCCGTCACACCACAGGATTGGTGGAACGGGCGGGGAACCGATGATTATGATTGACAACGCTTTTACGACAGGCCAACACAGCGCGGGCCGCTGAGGATTAGAGAAGCCCGTGGTACGCATGCTGAAACAAGCTCGCATCAGCAGTGATAAGGCATATCAAATTTTTCAGTAAGGATCGGGCACATATAACAACTTCCCAAAAAGAAGTTGCTGCTCCCCACTTCTCCACCACCCGTTGCGGGCCAGAATCGGCACTGCAAACTCTTCATCGTTGGGACAACTAGCATAATGACGATCGGTGTCAGAGACATTGATTTTCCCTCGCTTGTGGCAGATATTTGGCAATGAAAACGCGATTAAAATTCCGACTTCGAAACCTTCGATACAGGGTTGACGCTCATGCAAACATTCATGGCATCACTGAGTACACAGTGTTGCCAGCCGTTGCGATGAGTGTGGCCGCGTGTACCTTGCCGGTGGGTGGTCGGCGCTGGAGGCGGCAGTCGGTCGCCCTGCAGCTGAGGCCTGCGGTCCAACTCCGCAGCGGCGTCCAGCCAGCCCGCAGCAACTGGCGGAACAGCCACCGCACAACTCCCACCGATCCCATCACTAACGGCTGCCGAGCGGCCGCCGCCACAAACTAATCCGAATTGATTGCCGGAGGTGGAGGCGCCGACGGCGCCGTTGGCAGGTCAGAGCCTGCACCGGGGCGAGCCGGGCCTGGGAGCCTCCAGAACGACAAATATTGTAATCCCGTCTGTGGCGCCGCGCGTAAATCCGTCAACGTAGCCACGTCGCCTGCCCATGTCTGCCGCATTAGCGAATACTTTCGCTGCGACTTATCCGCCGTAACTTCAACGAGACTTCCAGCGCGCATATCCCGGCGTCACTGCACGTGATAATCCCCAATGTGACGCGCAGGGGCGTCGATCGCAAACCAAATGGGGGGGGGGGGGGGAGGAGGGGAGGAAGCAAAAAGGAAAAATGGGATTCTATCAAATTTGATCTGCTCCCATCAAAGTTGGAGGGGGCGGGTTTCCCAACTAAACCGGCAACTACACCCATGTTAACATGGGAACAGAGTGCCGCTATATAGGGCACTCAGGCGGAGAAACACCTCTGGCACTCACTGACGCACGAATGCTGGTCCTGCACGAGCTGGTAGCCGGGCCGACACGAGCAACGGTACGAGCCCTCTGTGTTGTCGCAGACCTGCTCACAGCCACCGTTCTGTACTGAACACTCGTCCATATCTGAGAAACAGAACGTTCGTTCATGTCTGCGAAACAGAGCGCTCGTCCATATCTGCGAAAACAGAACCCTCGTCCATATCTGCGAGACAGAACGCTCATCCATGTCTGCGAGACAGAGCGCTCATCCATATCTGCGAGAAAGAACGCTCGTCCATATCTGCGAGACAAAGCGCTCGTCCATGTCTGCGAGACAGAACACTCGTTCATATCTGCGAGACAGAACGCTCGTCTATATCGGTGAGACAGAACGCTTGTCCATATCCACGGCATAGAGTTCTTGTCCATATCTGCGAGAGAAAACTCCCGTTCGTGTCTGCAGAATATAGCATACGTCCTGGTCCGAGGCAAAGAGCGCTGGCGCATCTCTGCAGTAGAGGGCGTTCGGTCCCGTCTTCGGCATGGAACACTGGTCCGTGTCTCCACAAATGGTCCGTGTCTGCGGGAGACACCACTGGTCCGTGTCTGCGGGGAGACCACTGGTCTCTGCCTGCGGGGGAGACCACTGGTCCCTGCCTGCGGGTGGAACACTGGTCCGTGTCTACGGAGGAGACCACAGGTCTCTGCCTGCGGGAAGACCACTGGTCCCTGCCTGCGGGTGGAACACTGGTCCGTGTCTACGGAGGAGACCACAGGTCTCTGCCTGCGGGGAGACCACTGGTCCCTGCCTGCGGGTGGAACACTGGTCCGTGTCTACGGAGGAGACCACTGGTCCCTGCCTGCGGGGAGACCACTGGTCCCTGCCTGCGGGGTGCGACGCTGGTCCGTGTTTGCGGAGGAGACCACAGGTCTCTGCCTGCGGGGAGACCACTGGTCTCTACCTGCGGGGAGACCACTGGTCCGTGTTTGCGGAGGAGACCACTGGTCCCTGCCTGCGGGGTGAAACACTGGTCTGTATCTGCGGAGGAGACCACTGGTCTGTGTCTGCGGCAGGAAACACTGGTCCGGTCTGCGGGGAAGACCGCTAGTCCGTGTCTGCGGGGAGGACATTCGTCCATGTCTCAATCATATATAGGGTATGTTCGGTTTGCTCACACCCATGAAACAGCGCACTTGGTCATGTTTGTGGAACAGAGCACACATCTCCGCCTGTGGGGGAACGAGGCACTCGTTCACGTCTGCCTGCGACAAAACACCTTTGTCGACATCTGCGGAACGTATTCCGTATGAAATGGTTCCGGAAGCGAAATCGCTGCTAAAATGCGGCAGTGGAACGTCCCCTCGCCCATGCATACTACACAGGGAGACGCACACTTCTGCGTCCTTGTGTAATGATCGCAGCCTAGTTGTGCATTGTAGCCTGATCGTCGCACGCGCATGTTCCCTAGCGGACGAAACAAGGAAAACCATGCCGAATTCCTGTAAATGTTGACCGGTTGCATCGAGCGTAGGCGATTAACTTAAGACAGCATTTACTACTCTGCACAAAGGGCCCGCGACTTGATTTTACGATTGGCAAGCTTTGATTTATGACACTATAAAACGGCAAGTATTTTGAATCGGCCGCCGTGCTGGGACTGAGGTGACCAATTCTGCTTTCGTCTCCAATCATGCAAGCATGGCGTTGCCATCAGGTTGGCCTCTATGAACTGCCTGCACAGTACACAACTGATTCTGTCTGTGCGCCTTATCAAATCAGATGTTATCTCACAACTCCCGACACACGGCCACCCGTTTTCGTTTCTTGGTCCCAGTGTTTATTAGTTCATTCCCATCCAAAGTCAACGCCACCGGCATTCCGACTGTATCTCATGACACCATCAGATAAATTCTCGATGCCACCTGGCCTGGGCGAGCCATGCGGCGGACGATCAGACCTTGGCAGTCGGTGCCGTTGAGCAGGAGGTAGCCGACGCGACAGGAGCAGCGGTAACTGCCAGGAATGTTGTCGCACTGGTGCTGACATCTGTGAGCGCCCCCTGTACACTCGTCCACGTCCTGCGAAGCGATAAAACCGGCGTGAGCGAGGTGGTCTTAGAAAATATTGTCCGGATTTTTTTTAGGCTAGGCAGACAACGATGCTTACCTAGTTAGCATTTGAAGTTAGCAGGAGACTTCGGGTACCGCTTGTACATGCCACCGTGCAAGGATATTTTTCCACCAGGTTACTTCAGTGCACCCTATTGCAGATAAACGTTAATAGCTTTATGAGTTGAACTTAGGTATGGTTCTTCTACACCCAACAAATCACAATTTGAAATAATGTTGTTTGAAAAATGATGGCAAAACTAAGGGCACACCTGTCTCACGAACATTGGTCGGTAAAAATTGTATGATACGATAAGAACCATAGGAGCATGCAGGTGTTATAACAGTGGACAGCGTCACTTACTAGCAGTAAATTAAATGTATGCCCAGCGTTTTCAATGAACTGACAGGAAAGGCAGCACAAATCGAGAGATACCAGGTATAAGCTGTGCTGTATGCTGAACACTGATTGTCGTGCGCAGATAGAGGTTCCTTGTTTGAAACGGAAAGAAAATGGACGTGGACAGCAAGCACTTGGCTCTCTTCGGGGACTACATTATGGGCTGGTAGCTTCTTAATGTTACCAGATAGTTCAGAACATTAAGGCTCCTTCGATATCATCGCAGGACGAAAAAAGCACCCTACGCAAACTGAACCTGACGTTGCACGACTCCGAGTGAATTAATCGTTCCGACGAAAGACGAAATGTGGCCATTAAGCATCGCGCGGGCTGACGGCCAAGCCATGTGCCTCTCAAACGCCGGAGCCACTTAGGCGAGGCGTGAAGCCTGTGCCATTTGCCATGTCACTGTGTTGGTAGCTCTCGGACGACTCGATCTTAAGAGTGCGGATCTGTGGCCTTCGGATCATACTAATAAAGACACCATTGACAAAACGCCCGGAGCGCGGACCGAACATGACGTAAGCCAGTAGACATATATGGATTATTATAAATACATGGGCATGGTCTTAGTCTTGGAAATAGTGGCGATACTCCTGGAAATTCCAAGCCTTTTATTTGCTATGCAGCAATAGTAACCAAACGATCTCGTAACCCGTCAGGTATCTGGCATACCCAGTCGTCCATGACAAGCTTCTCCATGGTACATTTGGTAACCCCTAGTGGTGCCTATCCGCCCCTGAATTGAGATATCCATCGTTTCCGTCCCAACTCTGGCCTGACGCTTCCGTGATCCGTGATTCAGACATCCCCGAATGCACGGATCTGACGCATCCGGCCATTCCGGACCAATTCTGACCAGACAGATCCGGCCTTCCCTGACCCTCCCTGACCTCACACATCCTTTGGTCGTCGGCCAGCTGGTAGCCCGGGTGGCAGGAGCACGTGGTGCCGGCATCCGTGGTGGAGCACATGTGGTCGCAGCCGCCGTTGCCATGGAGACACTTGTCGACCAGCACGGTAAACACACCTGAAGAGCGCCGCGAGAGGAGGGACTAAACATGTGACGTCACGCCCGGCCCGGCGGCGCTAAATGGGCCTCTGGCGCTGGGAGGGGCCGGAGACACCGGGTGGTGTCTCGCGACAGAAAAAGGTCATGACTCAGCGGACAGAGCGGCCAGCAGATGACCACGGGGCAGCGGAGGACAACGGCGCAGCATGGGGCAGAGCTGTCGCGTACAACAGCGGGCTCTGTCAGAGATGCACGTTTTGACGCGTGGCTTTTCATGATGAAAAAAACGGAAAGTTATGTTTAAAAAGAACCAAAAACTCTGGTTTTCGTGTGGCTAAGCTCGCCGACTCGTAGCTAGCGAGCTCAATTTTCCTGGTAAAGACATATTCAACAGCACGCATTGGCTGAAATCAACAGTGAACACTTTTGTTTTTCTGCAACATTTGGGGTTATGAAGACACAGGCCAACGATTTTAGACTACCAGCGCTTTTCACAGCATGTCAAAGCCATAGAATATGTACTATATGTGCATGCTCATTAATTAAGGTTGCATGATGTAACTGTCGAAAATCATGCGGCCGCCGGCCGCTCGCTTCCCCAACCGAGGCCCATCAACTCTAAGAGCCGGAGGCAGTAGCCGGGAGATTGCATCGCACAATCCGTGACGTCCTGTGCCGTGCCTTACCTCCACAAGAGCAGTCGTCTCCGTGCAAGCCTGCCCTGTTCGCCACCGTTATCGATTACTTGCGCCCAAATCTGGCCGTCTACCTCACTGAATGTTTCGCGGCAGGTCTCGATCCGCTGTTATGACCCGCCGCCCGCCCCCCCCCCCCCCCTCCCCCCTCCTTCACCTCAGCGCGACACACGACCCAGGCCTCGCACTCCAGCAGAGTTTGCCGGGCGCGGCTGCAACCCTTCGACGGACCGACCCGGCGGCGCCGGAGCGCTCACTGTAGCATGTTCTGGCATCGCTGGCCAGCTGGTGGTCCGGCCGACAGTGGCACAGGTAGGAGCCCGGTGTGTTGGTACACAGCTGGTTGCATGGCGCCTGCTCGCTGCACTCGTCAATGTCTGTGAAGACGAATCGGCAGGGCGCAGGTAACCGCGCCCAGGTTGATTAGATACTTTATCTCCACAGGACCAGGGAGATTGCGTTTGGGATCTCATATCCTGGCATGATCGTGCAGCGTCGCTCGTGCCAACGCATTGCTGGATCCAGACGTAACGTTGGCATGACGCATGACTCATCCCTTATCCTTTGCACCACGCCACGCTATATGCAAAACGTAGTGATGGAGCCGCTGGCTTTCGTGGAACAGCATTGCATCACTCAGTGGCCATCCGAGACAGCCGCGTCTCGCATTCACCTTCGCAGGAGGTACTGTCAGTGCCGCGTCTGTAGCCGCTGTGGCACGAGCAGCTGACCTGACCTGACCTCAGGCCACACACGTGTTGACAGCCGCCGTTGTCCAAAGCGCAGGGACTCCGCGAGCAGGATCTGCCGTCCGGCCCCAAAGAAAACCTGGCAGACACGTCAGCGATGTGGTCGGAAAACATCGGACAGCCATGTCGTGAGACCGCGGCTCAAATCTAGTGCATGGCATAAATATTCTGTTGCTCCCATTGCGACAATCGGTGTGGGACGCTAGCGGAGCTAATAGCTGAATGCCTAGAACGAGATTATGATATTAAGAATACGATAACGATAGGGAATATAAATACGATGCACACATACATGAATATATATATATATATATATATATATATATATATATATATGTAACATATGCGATATTGGTAGGCAAACCCACAGTGGAGGACTCAAAGGTCGCCAGCAGCATGTGGAAAACCGCTGTGGGATGCTGTGCAGCATGAACGCTAAAGCGCCGGCGATAGCCCATGCGATAATGAAATCCCCTCCACACAGCTTTGTGGCGGCAGGTTTCTATCCCCAGACTTCATCGCTTACCCGCTCTACCTTGCCCAACTGCAATGGCTTGTGGCTGCTGCAATGTAGGCTTTTCCACCAGAAATCGCGCTCTCTTATGTGACATAGCGTTTTCCCACGCAAAGTAATATAATTCGTCGACCACGAATTATTCGTCGCGAGCAGGCGTGCAATTGTCAATGATTCCTGAACATCGCTAAGCACTAATTACATCTGACACATTCAAGATTAAGAAATGGGACAAGGAAAATATACTCGCTATTCTTTTCTCCACTTCCCTCGAAGGTCCATTAATCGATCAATGCCACAGGTAGCTCCGAATTCCAGCGCAATCGCCACAAGGAAGTCACGAACATGGTGGAACAAGGAACTTCTCACAAAAATATCCAGCATTCAGCATAGCAGCCTAAGCGCTGCATTGTCAGCCCAACATGCCCATCGATTCAGCCGGTAACACAAGCGGCGGGCGGGCGGGCAGGCGGGCGGCCGCGGGTCTCAAGCTGCTCGACAGGAGTGGCTGTCGGCGTCGGAGGTACCGTCGCGCCGCACCCCTCCCCCCTCGAGCTCAGAAGCACGCGCCCCGGCGGGGTTCCGGGGCTACCGGTCCCGCGTCCGGCGGCGCGAGACAGACGTCACGTGCAGCAGGCCTGCGCGGCCGCCGCCGGTCGCCACCGGCAGCCAAAGAAGGCGCCGTGTCCGACACGGTCCTGCCGCCACTCGGCCGCCCAGCGCCGCCGCGCCGAAGGTTATTTACGAGACGCTGCCGGTGGCGCGGCCGGGCCCGTCCCGTACATCAGCGGCCTGTTGATCCTGTACAGCTGGGACAAGGACAGATTGGAAACGGGTCTCCCTCTCCCTCCCCCCCCCCCCTCTCCCTCTCTCCCTCTCTCTCTCTCTCTCTCTCTCTCTCTCTCTCTCTCTCTCTCTCTCGTCCCCCTCTCCCCCCTGTGCTGCTTCAGCCATGGGTCCCAGGGTACCCGTTCCTCCAATTTGTATTCTCGTTGCCTCCGTGGATGTGCCAGTGTCTGGCTGGGTCAGCTAGGCCGTGACCGTCCCAACGACGCCTCACGGCCGCCGCGTGCGTCCGTCGACCACCCACGGCCACCGTGATTAAGCAAGCAGACGGGTGCCGGCGATCATCCACGCCGTCGGCTAATCTGGGCTGATGACGGCCAACAGAGGTGCGGACGACAGCGGCGGCGGCGGCGGCGGCGCCGGTGAGCGCGCTGGCGCCCGCGCCTCCACCGACGGCACCGCCGGTGAGCACGCCGGCGCCCGCACCTCACCGACGCCGCCGTCGGTGAGCACGCCGGCGCCCGCACCCTCACCGACGGCACCCGTCGTGAGCACGCCGGCGTCCGCGCCTCACCGACGGCACCGTCGGTGAGTACGCCGGCGCCCGCACCTCACCGACGGCCGCCGTCTGCCCGCCGACCAGAGGCAGCGCCGGTCGGGCCCCAGGCGCGCGCGCCAACTCGACGGGTTAACCGGAGGCCGACTCGACAGGTCAATCGAAGGTCAGCTCGACAGGTTAACCGGAGGCCGCCAACCCGACAAGTCGATAGGAGGTATGATCCGGACGGCCTTGGACAGAAAACGGATGTGACGTCAGATAACGCAGACATTTCGGACGTCGGTGCCTGTGCAAGAAAGAGTCTTCAGAGCTTATATACATATATATATATATATATATATATATATATATATATATATATATATATCGTGGGGCCAGCTCCCTATATCGCCCCAGGGCCATTTTTCGATTGTCTTTGTATCTCCGCCTACTTGCAGTCGTGCTGACTGATCTCGTATAAAACCCTGCCAAAACGAAATTCGGGACTGAGTGAAGTGAAACGAGTCAGTCTTTTAAAAAATACTCACCCCGGATGACACCGACACTGGACCTGCCCTCGAACGTCTTCACAGGTGTGCTCGCACCCTCCATTGCCGTCGGTGCACACGCCAGAATCTGTAAGAGGCAGGCTCGAGGGAGTGCGCTGTATCGTCACCGAGCTGCTTCGCCCCCAGCGGCGTCGCCACGAGCCGCTGCAGCCGGCCATAGTGCGGCCATGCCTCAACGTGTCACCTCCCCATACTTATGCCGTCGGACAGTGAGGCACGAGTTAATCAGGATATCCCACCGGTCTCCGCGACAGCAGTGAGACCGACGGTGACCAGCAGCCGTTCGTCAACGAGTCTGGCTATGACGCGTTTACAGCCTGGACACAACATTCAGCATGTGAAGATCCCCTTTTGTACGCGTTACTATTGTAGGAGTTTGTGTTTGCGATCCAGTGCGAGTTCCCCGCGACATGAATCGTAGGGTCATGTGTCAAATTGAATGAATTATCACAGTATAATCATATACATCTGCCAAGAATGCCTCTTGTACTACTGCTCCATCGTCTTCATGTCTACATTCGTGCCATGGGGATATGTAAGACACAATCCTGGCAACTTATTCACCAGTCCAATACATCATTGTTTTTTTACCGTCACCAATGAGTGGGCAACCAGAGGTACCACTCCCACGATCCCCGGCGATGCCAGAGGAAACCACTCCCACGATCCCGGCGATGCCAGAGGTACCACTCCCACGATCCTGCGATGCCAGAGGTACCACTCCCACGATCCCGGCGATGCCAGAGGTACCACTCCCACGATCCCGGCGATGCCAGAGGTACCACTCCCACGATCCTGGCGATGCCAGAGGTACCCACCCCCACGATCCCGGCGATGCCAGAGGTACCACTCCCACGATCCGGCGATGCCAGAGGTACCACTCCCACGATCCCGACGATGCGCAGAACCGTAAGTAACACCGAACAACATCCAGAGCAGTGCGGGGCACTCTCTACTAAGAGATCGAAGTATACATAAAAAGGCGAATAAAGTTAAGCAAGGTCAGTACAGATCAGCGCGCATGGGCAGCCTAAGTGTGTTGTGTTTGCTTAAGTTTGCATACCGAGGTCCCGGCCGTCACCCAGGAGGTCCGCACGCATTCGTCATGTCAGTTTACAAGGAGCACACACACGCTTCAAATAAGCTGGGCCCAACTGGTCAGGGTGGCTGCTCGCCGTCTCGGTGTCCGTGAGCCCACTCACATAAGCGGAGTTTGTTACGGGATGGACTCAAGGAATCAGCGCCGCTTAGGGGTTGATATTCATCCTAATCATGAAAATTATTGAGGTCTCACTGTGACCAGTTATGTTTGTTATACATGAAATGGGATGAAGGCTACTGGTTCTGTATCAGAGACGATTTTTCAATCAATTACATTGTGGGTAGGTTTGCATTGATTCTAACACTACGACGCTCTTGCTATATTTTCCAGACTTCTGTTATAAAGAGCAAAATAATATAAAGTAAAGTAAAGTAGGCCGTTAGTTCCCTGGATAGGCGATTGCTGTGGAAAGAGTGCTAAACACATCTAAGTTTTTGTGATTATGGGGTTTTAAGTTCGTCGTCGGTTTTAAGTTAAGACGTCGGCTTGGGGCATACCACCGAAGTAAGTGGTAATCTTCGGGGCGAAGTGCCGGGTGGGACCATCATGAAGTTCCCGAGTCGGTTTGCCAGACCCGAAAAACCCGAACGGTGCCGAAGAATCCACTGGACCACTTCCAAGGTGTGACTAACATTGCGGACTGGGTACTAGCGGCCAGCACAACTAGCCTGACGCCTGTGAGGCACCAGTACGACGCGTTTTGCAATGTGAAGCGATTTATAAGACTGAAGACGCGATTGCTGTCACCATTTGGATGGTACTGAGATGCAATATGTAATGTATTTTGCATATGATGTTTATAATACGTAAGGCGTATATATATATATATATATATATATATATATATATAACACACAAATGAAGCCTCTCACTTTTGGAGCCCCCACAACTAGGAATTATCGCATTGCAAAGAAATGATTCCATGAGTTTACCAAGGAGAGGTGTGAGGTGCATGTTTGGCACTCGTACGATATTTCACAAGAGACATGACCTGAAAATTGACCGGCTCATGCTTGACCTTACCTGACAATTTTAGACGATGTGATTCAACTTTTGACAAATCACAATGTTTTTACACTGCTCGTAAATGCCAGCTAGAAAATTGCAAAAATTAAAGATATTTTTGGTGGGGTATTGGTCATGATCAAGGGCACTAAGCGCGTGTGTAGTTTCGACGACCCAATTTCCTTAGTTTACGCCACAGCGTTTTAGGTTCAAGCTCGGGTTCAGCGAAGACGAAATCAGTCACATTACGACCGACCACTGACAGCTGCCATAGACCGAACTCGTGGTGAGCTCTGTCGTCAGTGGCTTGGGATCGGGGCATTTACTCGCACCATGCCATCGTTTTAATGTTTTCATCTGCGATGGTTACTGAGATCTGACAAACACATCCACAAAACGCCTGGAAATGGGCGCATTGAAGGCTAACATGAGACGACGTGCCATGTTCTGCGAACAACGACCAACATCTTCTCCATTAGAATGTCCGCTTCCTCTTGCCTGTATTACCTATAGTCTCATGTCGCTGCAGTGCCTCGCTGAGATTTACACCTGTCTTAGGTCGGTTCTTCACAGCTCACATGATTTTAAAATGTTTGGTTTTCCATGCGAGCAGAAATGCATTCTGTTCGCATGAAACACACAACATTTGAAAACGTTTAACTCCCAATTTGAATCAGGAGGTGAAAGAGTACTGGCATTGCGGCGTTCCAGAACCACGCCCATCTGACCGGGCAGACTGCATGTGAATGCTATCACAATATTACGGTACAAGTTTTGAAGACTTTTACTACATGTTCATGAAAACTTTGTGGGGTTAAGACCGGTGGTAGCACAGATATAAGCCAGCAAAAAGTGTGGTGGGTCTAGCTGAGCCGCCGAAACCGCAAACTGTCCAGCGAATTTACGCTAGACTCGCTGGGCCTCGTGTCCTTACCTCGATGGCGTACAAAATAAAGCAGGGGCCGAACAACAGCATAGGCAGCTGAAGTTCAAGTATTAATCTCGGCTAACGATGGCTGTCACGAAGCCGTGTGTTGCTATGTGAGACCTTTGCTTTGAGAGCCCCGTTAACCGCTACCACCAGAATGTCGGGATTTTGATGTTTATGTATAGACGACCCACACACTGGACAGACCCGTGATTATATGTACAGTACTTTAGTCACACCCGGATCTTGATACGCGCAACTTATTCGTCGATGTCGGAATAGACGTGCAGACACAGACACGACGTGCGTCTACTTCCCCCCACTCTCCACGCGTATAACCGCCCCCCCCCCCCCCCACTGCCCAGCGTATACTGCCCCCCCCCCCTGCCAAGCGCGGGAGCGTAAGTCGAGCGGTCGCCGCGTTCTCCTACAGCGTCACGAATAAACGAGTGCAAACCAAGGAAGAGATCACAGTTCTAACAAGTACAGTTACTTTATTTACCGATAGATCTGTGTTGCGGGCGAAACCTTATACAAAGGGTGGCCAAATGTGGTAAGAAATTATGGGAGAAAGTGTTTCACGCAAACATTATAAGACGTTCTTCCTGACGAACAAACTGCTTTACACATTCGATGTTAAATGACCACGATGAGCGAAGGCGCAAAGAAAACAGGTGAAGCTCCGTATCTCCGTTTCCTTTGACCTCATTGTGATACTTTTTCCGTGTCCTGATGCCGTGAACCCGGAGTGGCAACGTTGAAAAAGTACCCCGTTGGTCAAGCACAAAGGCACATGCAGGAGTTAGCAATGGGGGGCGGGGGAGGGGGCAAAGCTGGAAATGTGTCGCCGTAAAGCCCATATATGTACGTCGCCGGTGCGCTAGATTTTTTGCATGGCGCATAACAACATCGTATGATTTCCAATCTGTGTATTTTGAAGTGTATACTTCGAATTTACTTGTCGACACTCGCTGACGCGCATATCAATGGATGTACAAATTGATGAGGGGGCGTAGAGTCCCTGTCCGCCCCCTACTTTACATATGTCACTGACTGAACGCTGGCGGTACCAATCCTGTCACAAATTTTTCGAGGTGAAACAAGATAAACCACGCCGATTGCCTGAAATATGCTAGGTCCTGACCAGCGGACAACACCGGTCGCATGTTGGCCATATAGGGACGGATCAGGCCTTTGTCCAAGCGCATTTTAGCATGCCATCGCCTATGCATCAAACTGTTTCAGCGGGCCTCACGCGCGTCCCGATGCCAGCGAGACGGGCGATAGTAAACGAGAAGCTGCAACCAGGGCATAAACGCCAGCCTTCTCCGAAATGACATCACCGGAAAGGCCCTATCAAAGCAGCACCGAAAGTCGGCCCAGATCGAGACCGAGCTGTCCATCCGTGTCGTGGCTGAAGCGCCTCCATCATCACATGCCCAAGACCGCAGCATTCATCACAGGGAGCGGCCGGTCAGCTGTCCTCGCCGGCCACGCCCAGGCTATGTCCTGTGTCAGATTAGCCAGCCGGACAGGCGGCCTCACTCGGACACTGAGTAACGACCCAGTCTGGACCCATCATTGCGCGCGGGACCGTGTCGGCTCCATCGACGATAAATTCAGGCGATGGCACGTGGCGCCCCTGCCCCATCATCCTCGTGGCGCCCCTGCCCCATCATCCCCCACAATGACGGCTTTCGAGGGGGAGTTTTTCGTTTCCCAATTCCACCGCTTCTCATGGGTCTGTGACGGCGCCCATCCGCTACCATTCCCAAATCAGTTTTACCCATCCGTTACCCTTAGTCAGTATTTCTCCAGCACTTTGTATCTAACTTGTAAAAGATTATCAGGAAAGCTTATACCCAAACTCACTCTTTTGATTTTGCAGTTAGTGCAACAGCAGTGTGAGATGAGTCAATCGTGGTTTGAACAAGCGCAAACGTTATTATCGTGAAACTTTTCTTGAAGTGTCCACCATTTGCGCAAACGTATTACCAATTTCGATACCTCATGCACGCAAGTTTCCCAATTTCTGCACTCAACCCAATCCGTTGCCCATTTGGCATGGGTAACCATGGGTTTACCCAACTCGTGAAGGCCTCTCTGCGCGAGCCGCCATTGACGCCTGCTCCCGATCGTTTTTCACGGCGGACGAGGTGCGAACCCGCTATGTTAGAGCAGGCCGGATAAACACCGGCGGTGATTGGTCTTGTTCAGCGCCGCAGTCGGACAAGCAGTACGTCGGCGCCCGGGCGGCGCCCGCGGCGAGGCGGGGTCACCGGGTGAGGGGAGACAGGGCACCATTCGTCAGCCGTCGTGGCCAGAGGCGCACCAGCTGACGCCCACCGGCTTGTAATAACGACGGTCCCGCGGTGCTGGGGAAAGAATGCTACAGCCGGCCGCCGGATCTACTCGGCCGTGTCTATCACTGAGGACGTGTTGTTGTAACGGCCGTATCGCATCGGCGCCACTCTGGAGCTGATGCAACGTTTCAGCGCTGGTTTACGGATTGTCGTGCTGTTGGCGCCAAGTCTGAGCATGCTGTCCCTTGCTGACCAGATTTCAGGTTTGGTGCAACTTCGAAAAGCGCTAATGGTTGTGTCGGGCCATCAGTGTTTATGTCATTACTGCTCAGTGTGAGCTTTTTACCCGGGCCCGTGCAAAGACATATCTGATCAAGCATTCTTCACCAATCTCATCCTAAGTGATCGCATGGCTCTCGTCCAGTTAAAACGTGGTGGTCATTTTATCTGCAAGTAAAACCAACGACAGCTACATCCCCATCTATAACCGCTTCATCTCCACTACCACAACAGTGACCAGCCTGTTTGACCGCGAAGGGTGCTTTGCGAGCATGACAAGCGGGTGTGTACACGAAGGCGGTGCTCATGGCAGCGTTTATCGCGTCATCAGCGCTGACACGGGCCAAATGGCCCAATCAACGACCGCTGCAGACAGGCATCCCATTCTGGAGGGGGGGGGGTGTAGGGGGGGGGGAGAGACTTAACACTCACCCTGGCACGTGTGTCGGTCGGCGCCCAGTCGCATCTGGTCCGGGCAGAGGCAGATGTAGGAGCCCGGCGTGTTCACGCAGGAGTGGGAGCAGCGGCCATTATCGTCGCCGCACTCGTCCCAGTCTGCGGCCAGGGAGCAGAGAGTCACGGACTCCTGCGGTCCATGAGCGGAGGGTCAGGCTCTCCTGTGGTCCGTGAGCGAGGGCCAGGCTCTCCTGTGGTCCGTGAGCAGAGGGTCAGGCCCCCCGGAGGTCCGAGGGCAGAGGCCAACGGACCTCAGGAGGGCCTCAGGACCTCAGGAGGCTAGGCTCTCCTGAGGGCCGTGAGGTGTGTCAAGCGCAGGACTCTCACAGGATCAGAGCACCATCAGGGGCACATTGCCAACTCTTGGGCTAAGATCGAAGGAGCGTGAACTGGGATACTTGGGGCGGTAGAAATGTCAACTGAATAAATATGCACTCGGGCTTATATTGAGGACTGTGGAGCGATGCGGACACGTTAGGACACATGAACGCTTCTCTCAAAGTCAACCGTTGCCCAATGCCCAAGACGGCAGGCTTGTCTATCTGACTCGGTCACTGTTCACCCGCATCCACCATCTTTAGGGTCGACAAGCTACCCGGATGTCTTTGAAAGCTCCGCCGGTCTCACCACCTGCGCACGGGGTATGAGCACGACCCGTCGCTCGCTGGACATCCGATGTATATGTTACAGCAACTGGTCATCAGCTCAGCATGTGTTTCTACAACTCCTTTCCGACAATGCTCAGCAAACTCTGACGGTTGACCCGTCGGGTCGGATTCAACGTCGCAGCAAGATGTTTTTGTCACCCCATCATGGGGTTTCTTTGTTCATGGGATGTATCTGCCTTAAGTCAAGGCATTCCATCATGCACCTGCCGAAGAAATTACGAAAGAGGCCACCTGATGTCATTTCGCAATCCCCCATTGCTTTGACCTTGCATCGATTTGTACTTGAAATATGGATAAGCGACGATTTTGCTGGTACGCTGTAAAATGCCCTCCTAAAATTGATTTGGGTGCTTTTCAAAGCTTGACGTGACCAAACTCTGGAATGACTCTCTATCATAATTGACGCATCTCATCTCCTCCGTGCAGTCTGCATAATCACGAGGTAATTTTCTAGCTTTCTTCCAGGGTACACACTTGATGTCTGCAGGCCAGGTACAGGTGTGCCATCTGTCTTGGCGAAGGTCGCCTACAATCTTTTGATAAAACATTTTGTTCTTCGTTTCTCAGAATGACTCGTTCCGGACAAGCGTTTTTATGCTGTGGTTTTTACATTTTGATCTAACAATTTGCGCTCCACAACGTTTAATGTGCGTACAGATGTCTGCATCACTAGTTCTCAACTATCGATAATAAAGACGAGGTTCTTATGAAGGATGATCTGCTTGCAACGCCTACGTGTCCGTTTCCGTCTTATATAATTTACGCTATTGCGCCATGCGCGCTCACAAATCCACACACAATTTGCTGCCATTCAGGCTGTCAGAAATCTCACAACCCTGAGAGCCTCACGAGGCCCCATTTGCCAGCTCCGGGACCGAAGCATACCACATCTTCCGCTGCGTCATCTGTCTCTGGCGATGCGCCATTCATCAGCGCCTGAAAACACGACGGCCGCTCGGTACTTACCAGGCTGACCCGGCCTGAGCGCGCCAATCACCGGCCCGCCGCGCCACACCGGCCCCGTACTCATCCATCTGACGGGGGCGCGCCGCGGCGGACGCGGCCGCGACGTGTCGGCGGACCCGCGCCCCCCACCCGGTGCCTGTCTGACACGGCTCGGCCGGGGGCGGCGCCCGCCCGAAACGGCCCGCCGTGCACCGGCTGCCACCCGGCTCATGGGCCGAGGTTCAGGCCCAGACACGCACTTTGCTTGATGGCTTTCAGGGCTGAGCGCTAGCTCTCTGTGTATGGAGTCGCGTGTGCAGGCGGTGTTGCCAGTGTGTGCAGTGCTGGCCGGGTGCAAGCCGGCTTTTGTCGGCTGCCCGCCCTGCGACAAACGGCCCATTCATGGCCTGAACGCCAGGTAAATGCCGCCTGCCACAGCACTGCACGCTGAATGGGCCTAGATTAGAATCAAATGAGACGCCGTACAGGTCAAATAGGACCCTCGTCTATGCCTGTGCAGGTAAGATCGATTGAAATCTTACGATCTCAGACGAATATTTAATCACAGCGCGCTACATCTCATCCAGGCGCGGCTTTTCCATGACGGACGGCTTGAGCGAACTTCCTTACATGGACATGCGAGTTCCCTGAAACACAAGAGTGACATACCATCAATCCCATCTGATCAGTGACGGGATCGACGCGTCGTAATAGGACGTTCCCGTAGCGTCCTCGCGTCCTCGCGTAATCAAAAGCCCTTACGGCGTAACCGCCCTTCCCCGCGGCGTAACAGCGAGTCCTCACAACGTTCACGTCTCCGTGGTCTCGGGATTGATGACTACGCTGTGCGGTTACCGGCAATGATTGAGCCGTCTCGTTAGCTGGACAGCTGCGCCGGAACGCACCCAGCCGGTATCGACAGAAAGGTCACACCGCGGCCATGGGAACGTCAGCAGCCACGGCCGCACTCAGGGCCGAGGCAGCGGCGCGCCCCCCCCCCCCCCCCCCCCGTTTTTCGTCTCTAAGGTGGACAGGCTCGGCGCAGACATTTGGCACTTCGTGATTCGGAGTTTGTTCCCACCCCCGATGCTTGCTGAATCCGCCGCTGAAAAGCAGCCGCCGCGGTCGCCCCGTCTCAGCCGCGGCAGATGGGAGGCGCCGCCGCGCCCCTCCAGCCCCGCTCGCCGAAAGCGCGTGGCACGCGTCAGGCGCGGGGCGTCACGACCGAGCGAGTCCCGGCGCGCGCGCCCTGCACACTGTGGCCAGAGGGCGCGCCACCGCCCGTGGCGCGTGGGCGGGCGGTACTGTCCAGCAGCGGGCCGTGGGACCCGCTGGAGACGGGCGCCGCTGGTCATTCGTGTGGCGCAGGCAGCGGGACTGGGGGGCTCTGCGGACGCGGTCGGCCTGCTGGGTAGCTCAATGATTTTTAACAGTGGCCATCCGCCTGATACACCATGGGCTGCGGCATGGACTGCGACATGGGCTGCGGCATTCTAGCTTTCATCCCTGAACGCCTTGAGGCGCAGAGCGCGCAATGCACGCAGCTTCCTGGCCCTGACCCAGCAGACTATGTTCGGGATTGGTCCACTAGGCACCCGGGCGTGTCAAGGACAAATCTTGATCGGCTGCCAATCAAGCCCCCGACCGTATTCACACTGGACTAACTTCTCATTGGCTGCAGTGACGTACCGACCTTTGGATTGCAAGGCCACATATGTCAGTACTGCTCGGCTTCAGCTAACGTCGGTACTGTTTTAACTAGCGTAAAAGGGTCGTTTGCCGGCGGAGTGTTACAGTGCACCTCACACAGTGATAACTGTTTACGCCATAGATGGAATTTCAGTGAAATCAAGTCTACCCGTATGCGAAGTGAAGCCCGAGGAAAGCGTAACTAATGAAGCCCATGTTTGGGATTCATCTGCAGCAGCATCCTTATGAATCATATCTCAGCGCATCGTGTGACATCATGTTGCTAGCCGTATACATAGGAAAGCTGTCAACCCATTGCTAATCTGACACGTCACTTGGAACAGGGCGTGAAAGGTTCGAAGGTGGCAGTCATGACAGAGGTGGCAGGGAGCTAGGCACAATATGAACCAGCTTTTGGGCCGTTGCACTGGGAGCTAGGCCACAATATGAACCAGCGTTTGGCCGTTTGCACTGGGAGCTAGGCACAATATGAACCAGCGTTTGGCCGTTTGCACTGGGAGCTAGGCACAATATGAACCAGCATTTTGGCCGTTTGCACTGGGAGCTAGGCACAATATGAAACCAGCGTTGTGGCCGTTTGCACTGGGAGCTAGGCACAATATGAACCAGCGTTTGGCCGTTTGCACTGGGAGCTAGGCACAATATGAACCAAACCAGCGTTTGGCCGTTTGCACTGGGAGCTAGGCACAATATGAACCAGCGTTTGGCCGTTTGCACTGGGAGCTAGGCACAATATGAACCAGCGTTTGGCCGTTTGCACTGGGAGCTAGGCACAATATGAACCAGCATTTGGCCGTTTGCACTGGGAGCTAGGCACAATATGAACCAGCGTTGGCCGTTTGCACTGGGAGCTAGGCACAATATGAACCCAGCGTTTGGCCGTTGCACTGGGCGGATCGAGGGAAACCACGGTCAAATGCCGACTGGTACCGCTCATCGCTTGGCCTTCATCCTTATGTAGTCCGAATCATCTGGACATGTCCTTTATGATTGAAGACATGGTTGTAAATCGATGGGCGCACACATAAATTCTGGTACAGAGGAGGCGGGTGGGGGGGGGGGGGGGGGGGAGGTGAGAGGGCACATCGCCGGCCCAAAGTCCCCGAGCCAAGGGGCCTTTATTCTCAGCTAGCTGCGTTGTGCTTTGTTGGTACCCCACGACGCAGCGAGGCTAAACTCCAAATGTACCGGAGTTATGCGATCTCATCGACAGCCAACGCTGGATGCGTCGATAATGAGGGTTAGTTGGTCACTTCTACTATGCACGTGCATAAATATCCGTCATAACACGTGAGGCATGCTCCTAGTATGTGTGTCAGTCAAAAATGACTGACTACGGCACCGATTAACATGAAATTTTGAGGCTGTTGGATGCAAGTTCGCAAAGATCCTATGGATAGCGGCAAAATCACCTCCAAAATATAATGACTCTTTTGGGGATTAAGCTCGGGTCTGCTGAAGCGTCATCCCACACCAGGACCGCGTCCCGCGCAACCACACGTTTGGACATTCAGCTTAAGCATGAGCTGAGCTATGAGGGTGGACTTTGGCAGCAGTGCGCACCGGACCATGAATTCGGAGTACGTTCTCGTCATTGACTTTGGCAGCAGTGCGCACCGGACCATGAATTCGGAGTACGTTCTCGTCATTGACTTTGGCAGCAGTGCGCGCCGGACCATGAATTCGGAGTACGTTCTCGTCATTGACGGGTTGCATCACCAGAATCAAGCTCCCATGCGAACATGTTGAATGCGACGGTTTTTACGTTCAAGTCTT